CCTTGCTTTATTTTCAACTCAGCATTGATTTAGACAATTCTCCTGAAGAACACCGACATCACATAAAGAACATTCCTTCTTGTTTGAGACATACCTTATCCTGAATGTTTTAAAAAAAATCTTGCCTAATGAGATAGGTGAAAAGGGCAGCGAACAGAGATGTGAAATTTATAAAATCGCCAGGTAAAGGTCACCCTGTGCCAGTCTGCTTTGACAAGCATCAGCTTTAAAGGGCATGTCTGGCTTCAGAAGGATAAATTTGTTATATATTCTGTTTAAAAGGTATTTTGTATGACTTCTGTTGAAAAGTAATTTTGAAATCTATATATTTATTTCTTTTGCAATGTAGATTAATGTTGTGATCACATATTTCTTTCTTTTGAGGGGTTCTTTAAAATGAATGACTATGTACCTCTGAAAAATATTCAGTTAAAAAATTAACTATTTCTTTTGCATTAAAACACCGAATTTACACAAAACCAGGACTCAATTTTTAAGAAATGGCTTGTGTAAGATATGCCAATTCAATTTCCAAGTTTACTTTTCCATCAGTATATAGAAAAACAAATAAGCCATTATTAAATGGGCTAACTATCTGGATACAGTTTAGAAATGTACGCACTTCTAAAGACAGATCCTGTGTTCCTTGTGCCTGGATCATAGGATTAGGCTCTAAAAATCTAATCCATACAGCTGTTTTTAAGCATAGCATATTAACCAAATGACATCTAGTTCTACAGAAGCCTGTGTTTATTCTTTTTTCTCATTTCTTTCAGTTAGTATTATTGTGTGTGTCTTGAAAGTCACAATTTATCAAAGGCTGATAAAATTGCTTTACATTTTTGAGAACTATTTCAGTAAAAAGTGGGAAAAACTGAATAAAAATGTAAAGCGGATGAATTTACCCCAATATGATTTAAGAAAAGCGATTTCAAATGTAAACTGGAAATAGTCTGTACAGAGATGAGAATTAAGAAATTTAAGATATACAGCTTTTGCCTTCTCAGATCTGAGAGACTAAATTAGATTATAAATTAGAAAGGAGTCTGGATCATATACCAGAAAAACCACAGAAAAAAACTTACCAAAATTGTAGTTACAACTACTGTTCTGTTCTCAATGGCTGTTTCATTTCCAAGTGAAGGTTCATGCTGAATCAAAACTAATTTATCCATGTCATTCCAGTAACCAACCTACAACACAAAATGAAATATTTATAATAATATACAATGAACATAAGATACTAGAAGAAGAAGAGTATTATTGTGGTATAGCTGCTATTCCAGAATGGTGCAATTTTAACAAAGAACGAACCTTCACAGACATTTATTGAGCCCAGCAATAGCTGGATTCCAAGCCTTGGGGGAAAATTCACCCCTAGGTAAAGAAGTAGAACAGGATATTTGCACAACTTAAACGCCATGTAATTAAGGGGGATTAAACAGCACACAGGGCTTGTGTGAGCTCTCTGCATAGGCATAAAGGTCAATAATTTCAGAGGACCATCTGTGGCTTAGATATAGAGGGTTATAGAGAAGAAGGCTGGTCCAGTGGCTTGGGGCATTGGCCTGGGACTTAGGAAATCTGGATTCTGCTTCCTACTCCATCACAAAGACAGTGGGCAAGTCACTTATCCTCTCTAAACTTTCGTTCCTCATCTGTAAAATGAAGATAACATCAATTCCTTACCTCACAGATGTTGTGAGGCTCTGAGAATTTATAACAGGTTTTTGTCCCTAAATTTTTAAATGAGAAGAACTAATTCTCAGGAGGAAAAAAAAAAACCCTTAAAAACAGAGAATACAAATCAATTTCTTCTTCTACAAAATGTCATTTTGACCTATTTTTATATATTTAAGAGGAATTTTGAAGAGTCAACAGACATACTTGTGTGGGTGAAGTGGTAACAGGGAAAAGAGAGAAGCCAACATTTTGAATAATAGCTTGAAATATATAGCTTATAATATAACATAGCTTATAATAATAGCTCTTGGCTTATATCAGAGTTCTTGAGTGGGCCACGCACTTAGGTGCTCACCCCATGTGACCTCTCCATGCCCACTGTCACAAATGACAGTACTATCATGAACACTCACCTGGGTCAATAAGCTAAGATGACCTTTAAGTAAGATGGTCAATATGCTACAGAGAAGTCTCCTGGTGGTTTCATTCCAGAGAGGAGACCTGCCAGGTGAGAATCAAGTATCCCTTCCTTCTCTTCAGCAATGATTCACATAGCTGCACTGACTTTGGAAGGACCTCATCAGAGGTCTGCAGGCCAGGAATCATTTGGCAGCACTGTACCCACTTTTGTGAGATGCTTAAAGATTGGCCAGCAGCTAATTTTCCCTCCCTTCTTGGTAAACCTAGAGTTCACAAGGCCAAGGAAGTCCTTCCTACACCTATAAAAAGGGAAAGGGATTTAGGTTACCCCTTCATTTTCTCCTGCACAGCTTGTGCAAAGCATGCTCTGGACAGAGGACTGGGTATTAGTAACAAACTGTGAAGGGCCAGAGTCAGCGTAGGTGATGGAAAAGCTTTCACTTTGTTAACAGAGCCACAAATCAACACTGACACAAATAACTAGGTGTCATGTTATTCTGCTGTTGAGAACATGTCAAAATGTCGGTGACATGGCCGACAATGTCTTCAGCCTTCATTATCATTTCTCGTAGAACAAGGTTTACAGGGATGCTGAAAAAATCATGTCTGCTTTTTCGAATTCTTTTTCGGAAAAGCAGACACATTCCTTGGACACGGCAGAGCTTTTCTGGGATACCTCAGTGTAGACACAGCCTGATTCATTACAGAAAGGCAACTCCACACAACATGGAGAGATGAAGTGTCTTGCTCAAGCCACACAGTGAATCAGTGCAAGAGCCAAGACGGGAATTCAGGTGTTTCTGGCTCCCATGACTATGCTTCCTAATAATCCTGTATGTATTAAAAGTGTGATTTGTACATTTGCTGTTTTCCTTTGGAGGTTGAAATTAACTTACTAGACCCAAGTCATATCAACAGTGAATGATCCCTGCCCCATAACAATGAAGCATCTCAGACTCATAATGTAACATGTACAAATAAATGCAGTATATTGTATGTGAACAAAAGAAATTCTATTTTTTCCCATTTATGAAACCAACTGATAAAGAGTAGTTTGCTATGCAAGTCCTTCGATACATGAAAGAAGCATCTTCTGCTCCCCTTCTCCAACTATTAAAAAAATGCAGGTGTCTTGATTTAGGTGTCCACAACTGACATGAAATTCTGAGCATTCTTCCGTTAGTGCCAAGGCAGTTTTCTTTTATTAACAGGCTGCATTGCTAGAAAGCACATTTTGTATTGCTAGAAAATACATTTTTTTCCTCCAGATAGCTATGGATTCACATATGCAATTGATAGCTTAAAATGTCAAGTTCCTGCCAACATTTGGGACCAAGTGAAGGCAGAACATGGATGCTGAAGCCTGGATGTAAGAAAGCTCATTATAACGAATGTTTTGCATGGACTGGTTCCTCACGATTGGGAAGTTCAGAAATGAAGCAAGAACTCTGACGTGCTGTGTTGTAAAGTAAGCAGCACATCAAAATACTGGCAAAGAGAAAGTAGGTTTTAGAGCAATGATAGGTAGTTTTTCTAATGTGTGTGTGTGTGTGTGTGTGTGTGTGTGTGTGTGTGCGTGTGTCTGTCTGTCTCCCTCAAAGGCAGAATCTGCACTAAGATAACTCTTGGGCTACATCTAGACTGCAAGCCTCTTTCGAAAGCGGCTATTTCAAAAGGTACTTTCGAAAAAGCCTCTTTCGAAAAAGAGTGTCTAGACTACAACCAGTACTTTTGAAAAAGCAAGCCGCTTTTTCGAAAGAGAGCACCCAGGCAGTCTGGATGCTCTCTTTCGAAAAAGCACGGTTTGCATTACATAATGCCTTTTTTCGAAAGAGCACTTTAAAAAAAAAAGGCATTATTCCTTGTAAAACGAGGTTTTCCGTGGTCGAAAAAACTGCTGCGTTCTTTCGATTTACTTTTGAAAGAACACGGCAGCAGTCTAGATGCAGGGGAAGTTTTTTTTTAAACCAGACACATCCTGGTTGTTTAGGATTACTTTTGGCCAAAAGCATAAAAATATTTACTGAGAAAGCTATGAACTGGCACAAGAATGATATGTTCGGCTATTATAAATGAATCCCCCCTCCCCCCAAAAAAAACAACCAAAAAACAAAAGGGCCAAATCCAGCCCTGGTGTAAGCAAGTGCAACTCTATGTGTTCATCAAAAAGGTAAAAACACAACTGCATGAAACAATGATCATTCACTGCAGATAAGGTGCAGTAGGCCTGTATTACTCAGCTTGTTGTCTCTTCTTCTCTTCCCAGGCAGCTATTCTTCTCTTCCCAGGCAGCCTAACAGAACCCCATCAAGTGATTTTGTAATAGACTATGCCTGAGTGAACAACGATCACATATGCACACACCTGCTTTTGTTCATTTTCCTTTTACATTGTGGTATCTACTATAAAATTTACTTCATGTTCTCAAAAATCCCAACAATTATTCCTACGCTATAATCTGCAATTTACTTTGTGCATTTAATAAAGATTGCAAAAATAACAGGCCAAATTCATCTCTAGTGCTAGTGGTCACATCTCCATTGTTAGCAGTAGTGCTGTACCTGTTACACCGTAGAAAAATTTGACACGTCAGCGTTTTATTCCCAGATCTGAAGTTCTTATTTTGATGGCTTTATTGATTTAGTACTTCAATGGACAGACAGATGCTGTCAGATCCAATCAGCACGTACCTTACGAGGGCCGGTGTTCTTCAGCTCAAATACATCCATTGTATAGTTGACTCTGCGACCATAGTGGTCAAATTGAACGTTTCCAGTCAGCCCTTGTATTCGAACCTAAAAATGAAAAAAATTCCAGCTTCTGTGCTTTTTGCACCCAATTGCCTCATAGGAGCTGTGCATTATTAAATGAATCATGGGACACATTTGTGTAGTGCTTTTGGACCATGTATTTTAACTGCAGAATAATGTAAATGTATTACTTTGGATCAAAAACAAACAAACAAACACACAAAAACAAACAAGATGCTTTTCTTGACCCATTAGGTCTTTTCCAGCTCAAATCTAGATAATAAGACAGACATGTGCTAAAATACAATACTCACATGGATGAAATTCACCCTGCTGCAGAGGGCCTAAGCAAGGCCGTTTGTATGTTTGTGTGAAGGGATGGTGGCCTGGTGTGAAGATGTCTCAATACCCCTACTCCAGAGGGTGACAGGGGAGAGATTGTGGGATCAATAATTCCTTCCCCCTGCCCCAGGTCCTAACTACTACATGCAAGTGACATTCTGGAGTTGTGGGTGCAATTTAATACCATAGGCTGATACAGTGGAGGGATGGATTGATCTGGAGCCTAAGCTCTACTCCTGGGTTGTGTGCTCTCTGGAGCTGCCCTGATAGACATGCAGCTTCTGATCGATATCCTGATCCAGTCAGTGGATGTGTTGCCATTGAGACATTATGGTCATGATGTCAATTTCACCACAGAAACTTGACTTCATGCCTTTAGGGAATATTGTAGATCTGGACACTTTCTTCACAGAATATATGAGGCACATTGAATGTTTAATATCATTTCATGAGAGTCAGGACGTGCATTTTAAATCAGATCCTTTTCTCTTTGTCCATTTCAGCCTTATCCAACTCTTCTTTAAGACTGAAACCCTTGCTGGGAGGCAGAAAGCTGCCATTTCTGTCAGCAGTCACTTCTTCTCAGTGTCTGCTCCTGAGTTGAGCCTGCTCATTTGAATTGGAATGATTTAAATTCTACTGTAGGATTTGTTTTAAAAAACCTTTCCATTCTTGAGGAGAAAGGCTAAATCATCTTGACAGGGATCTGGAACTTTCTAGGCATTCATATTCATCAGAAATTCAAACTTTTGACATCATTGAACAATGGCTCTGAGATATCTTCTTTTTAAGGAAACAAAAATGTTAAATAATCTTACCTATGTAATTTTCCCTGGGGGGTTGTTTAAAAGCAGGTGGGATGATACAAACAAATTATTTATGGAGTGTGGTTAATAAAACAATCTGACAATTCAATGACACATTTTTGTGTATTACTTGGAAATAACTTTTTCTTTAAATGAATATTTCTTTTTCATATTCCTAGGCTACCGTGCATAATGCAACTGGCAAGCTAAGCACTTTAGTAGAGAATGTTCCATTGCTTACATGATTACAAAGTGGTTTTCAATGTACTAGCTGAAATATTTGTTCTGCTGTCAGGCTACAGCTCTTGTGCTTCATTGATAATATAATTTGGCTAACAAATGGAGGGATCAAAGACATATCTAAATGACTGAGAGGCTTTCTACCCTGTCCCCAAACCATAAACAAAAACAGCAGCAGTGAAGACAATCAAAATATTCCTAGATACATCCAGGTGTTGATTGAAAATACACATCCCCACATGCCCATCACTCTTTGTTCACTGTTATATCTTCCACACCACGGAATAGGCAAATTGATCTACAATTCATCAAGGCCACTAGAATTAAGCATATCATTACCTGTTTGAGTGTTCTCTCCATATCAATCCCCTGGCCCCATGGTGCAGCAGGATTAGCAAGACAATCACCAGCATTCCCTCTCCGTGAAATATCAATTTTCTGCCTTCTAAGGTTACGGAACGTTTCAGCCATCACAAGTACCCCATCATAGGTCAGAGCAGATGTGTACTAAACAGACAGATAAATGCACCATTTCACTTTGGCAAACCTTTTGAGAATCAACTCAGATTTCGATATATTTATGTTCTAGACTGCTCTGCACCCTGAGGCAAAACTCCCATCAAAGTCAACAGAAGTTGAATCTAAGCAAGGAATTCATGATCTCAGATTTGAGATCGTATTACAATAGTACAGCTTTAAAATTTAGAAGGTGGTCAAAAGATCTCTGAAGAACCAGAGCAGGAGACAAATTAAAATCCTGATCTCCCTTACTCAAAACCTTTTCGGCATATATTTTATCCACCTGGGACTAACACCTTTCAAACCATGTTCACTGAAGATGAGAGAAAAACTAGTATTTCACTGAGCAGGCTGAGGATCATGAATAAATGCATTGGAAAGAATGGGAGAACCTGATTACCTAAGTTGCAGGGTAATCAGGATTAGCATTTTTCATTCCATTTGCAAAATATCTGCTTAGTTTCTTTCATGAAATAGGCTATCGTGAAATAAATGAGACAAGAGAAGTCAGGGTGGAAAGTATTGGTTCTAGGCAGCTGCTAGTTTGGAGACACAGGTGAAAAAACCACACATATGCTCACTCAAAGGCAGGGTAATTTAGGGATAAGGCACTGGGCCAAAATTCAAGAGACCTGGCCCTGCCACTGATCTGCTCTGCAACTTGGGTATGTCAATTCACTTGCTACCTTTCCTACATTTTATCTTGTCTGTTTAGGTCATAAACTCTTTGGTATAGGAATGATCTCTCATTATTTGATTGTACAGTGCCTAGCACAATCTCTATCAGGCTCCTACGAACCATAATACAGTGAAAGCTTTGTTATCCAGCACTCTGTTAACCAGAAAACTTTGTTAACTGGCACTACTCCCAGCAGTACAATAACACCACTGTGCCTGACTCCCACCTGTCCAGCCAACCATCGTGTGGCATCTGACAGCAAGCACTGCCGGCTGACATCATCAGCAGGTGCCTTCTTCCCCCTCAGCCTGACTGCCTGAACTGCTGGGAGCTGGATTTGCCAGTAAGGGATGGGGACAAAGCAATAAGCATTTTTATCCGGCACATTCAATTAACTGGCAATCACCATTCCTCATGAGTGCCGGGCAACAAAGCTTTCACTGTACAACTTATCACTATTCATAATAAATTAGCTCTGAGGCTTTCATTTTTACAACGAAGTTGCAGCTTGCCTGTCAAGAAAATTTCAGATCTGTGGTAGAGGACAGTTGGAATGGACAGTTCAGAACCAGAAAGACATTCAGTTGCACTGAAAGATCATGTCTGCTTATAAACATTACACCAGGATTATCAAAGGGCGCAATTTTCAGATAGTCAACAATGTAGGCATGATACATTAATTATTATTATACTTTAGATTCAGAAAACAGCTTGTTGGCTGGAAACCTATGAGTTTGGTGCGCATATAGTATGATAGGGCTAACAAACAAGTGAGGTTATAGTTAGAATGTTAGTTTTAAATAAACTTTAGATTTCTAATTTTTGTCATTAAGGGGGTTACCTGGGGAATAAATGACAGAAGAGATAATATTTGTAGTAATTCATATTTCTATCAGATAATTGCAGTACTGAATAGTTATCTGTAATTGTGAGGTCACATATCTTTTTCTGTAGTTCAGTATTATGAAATAAAGTATGTTACTCAGTTAAGTTAAACAGAAATCCTTGGTAGTGTGTACAATTAACAGGTACCTTTGGAGGGCTCTCAGATCCTGGGTATTCTCTCTGATCCAGTTTCTTCCACCGTTGCATGAGTTTAGTTACCATAGGAGTACTGAAGTCTACTAACTGAAATCCTGTTACATTGGCTCCTCCATGCATAAACCTCTCCAAAGAAATATCTTTGAATCCCTAGAAAATCAATTTAACATTCTGTTTGCCCTAGCACATTTTTTTTTCTGGGCCATACATGTTTTAGGTTAGAAAGTGAGCAGAAATGAACAGAGAGAAAGCAGGTAAATAGATTCCTAAGACAAGTAAAGGCTTAAAAAAAGAAACTTCAGCCTTAACATATAGTGTTACTATGAATGACTTAAAAAAAAGATGAAGTAGGCATGTAACAACAGTAGGAAAAGGCATTGCTGGGTATGATGGACAAAGTTTGAGAAAACAAATTCAGATCACCATGTTTGCAAAGCAATTTCAGAATATTAAGCACCTGAGCTTGTCTCTGCTAAAGTCAAGGGAAAGTCTCCAAAATACTTCAATGGGTATTGGAGTGAGGCCTGATCCATTATGCCCATGGTTCAAGATGGGGCGGGGGAATATGGGAGGGGGGGTCACCTCTAATATCATTAGCTCACAGACATTTACCTTCCCCCTCCCATCCCCCTTCTGTTCTGAATTGGTATATATGGTTGTGACAATTTAATGCCAATATTTGATCTGAGGAAGTGGGTCTGGCCCATGAAAGCTCATCACCTAATAAACCATCTTGTTAGTCTTTAAAGTGCTACATAGTCCTGTTTTTTGATTCAGCTACACCAGACTAACACGGCTACATTTCTATCACTATTTTGTAAGTATACACTGTCTGGTTTTTCATTGGTATATATGGTTGTGACAATTTAATGCCAATATTTGATCTGAGGAAGTGGGTCTGGCCCATGAAAGCTCATCACCTAATAAACCATCTTGTTAGTCTTTAAAGTGCTACATAGTCCTGTTTTTTGATTCAGCTACACCAGACTAACACGGCTACATTTCTATCACTATTTTGTAAGTATACACTGTCTGGTTTTTCAATCTGAGAGGGGTAGCCATGTTAGCTTGTATTTGCAAAAACAACAAGGAGTCCTGTGGCCCCTTAAAAATAAGGCCATGTCTACACTACAGAGAAGATTTTTGAGGGTACGAATTAGCAGATCTAGTGAAGATACATAATTTGAAATGGGAGGGTACTCGCATCGATGCCAGTAGTCCTGCTCCTATGAGGAGTAAAGGAAGTCGAAGGAAGAGTGTGCTTCTGTCAACCTCCTGCCAAAATGCCATTTAAGATACTTTGACTCCAGCTACGTAATTAACATAGTTGGAGTTGTGTATCTTAATTTGAATGTATACCCTAGGATAGACCTACCCCAACTGATTTATTTGGCATAAGCTTTTGTGAGTGCATGCATCTAATGAAGTAGGTTTTACCCATGAAAGCTCATGGCCAAATAAATCTGTTAGTTTTAAGACGGTACAAGACTCCTCATTGTTTTTGTTCAAGCTGAAGGTCGACAAGTTATCCAACATATACAGTGATGTCATGGATATCAGTATTTATATATTTCAGTTTGTAGGTTTATCTGACAGTGTAAAACCAATGTAAGTGACCAAGCCTATTATGAAGTTTTAACTGTAGTAGCCCTCAGAATATTTTCTATTTGAGCTTTATATTAAATGATGTGTTTCTATGGTTAATTTGCTCAGTGAGTAAAATAAAAGGTACTTTTAGTGATTTAATTGCATATTAGGAACACATAACTATCAAACTAGCTAATTAACCAACACAAAACACATACACACATCAAAAATAAGAAAAAAACTTGGTTTCATAAGCAAACTGTCACTGAAACATCTCTCAATTTTTTAATCTTCCACTGATCTGGCAAATTTGAATTTATCCTGTTAGTGTTATGACACTGCATTTAAAAAGCAAGATTTAGAAAAAGTTTTCTGACCGAGGGCCCTCTTTAAAGGCACTGGATCAAGCTCTTAAAGATAATTTTAGTGCATGTGAAAGGTGTCAGGTTATCAACTCATTTTACACGGAACATCCATCTGATACCTGCAGCTACTGAACAACCATAATATCCCTCCAGCTTTTAGTCATTTTCACATGTAACCCAGAGGGGAATAAGCTTCAGTTCATATCTTATTATCAATCACTGAACAATTTAATTATCCTCCTACCACATTATATAGGAAACATAATTTGAATTTTATAGGTTTGGGGTGCCAAAAATCTAGAGCCTGGAAAGGATGGACTTAGCTTGTTTTGAAAGCTGGAGGCCTGAAAAAAATAACTTGAATTTTTTTGAACTGAAGCAATATGTGTAGCACAGCAAAACAGAGTTTTTTGTTGGCTCAAATTCTTTAAGTGTGAGTAAAGAATAAGAAATCAAGCACACACAAAGGTATGTCCGAACCAGAATCTATATTCTCTGCATAAGGATGTTCAGTTTAAGCAAAGAGATTACTTTAATAATCAAATATTTAATTTTGCTTTTGTTTTCCTCTTTGAACACATTTTTGCACAAATGTATAATGTGGATTTAGAGGGAAAATACTGAGTAATACTACTGGAAGTAACTTATTTTATAGCAAAACATATACATCCTGAAGGATGTGAAGAAGTCACATTGAATTTTATTATTCTTGTAACACACAAAAATTAATAAAAAAGGAGAAGTAGTATTATATATGACTCAAACTTTGCACTAAATTATACCCAGGCAGCCCCTTAATCCTGTACTGATTTTAATGGAAGGCAAGATTTGACTTCTTGTTAGTCAAATGGCAGCAGTCAAAACAAAAAAATGCATGTTCTTCAGTATTTTGCCTATTACGGTAAATTGTATATTGGTTACAAATAGCAAAATTGTGTGCAGTGTTACAACTTCGCAGCACAGATGAGTGTTTTACTTGTAAATCACTGACATAATTATACAAAAGAATCTTACCAGGTTTGCAACGATGTAATGGTAGCCTTTAACATGCTTTCCAACACTCACAATCTGTGGGGGGAGGAGGAGAGGTGAAGAATAAAAAACTATATCTTATTGTACTGTTTTAACTGAGCATTAATCACCACATGATTATGAGAAATGTAATTTTAGCACCATAATGTGGAACCCCCCCCAAACCTAAGTGACAGAGGGAGCTATAATTTTCCTACTGCCTAATCATTAAAACTTGCTAAAATGCAAATAGCTAAAATAATGAACTGGCAATTCTGAAATCTGAATGCCTTCCATATGATTGAACATGTTATTGTAGTATATTATTTTAGAAAGTGTAGTAATGGCCTGGGTTATACATATCCAGACACCATAAACGACTAAAAGCTCTATTTTAATTTTAATTTTCCATATCATTAGTGCTTGTGAAACGGTACATTTTTGGTGCTTCGGATTGAAGTTCTCCATTTTTATAGGGTCAAGTACATTATTTTGTTCTTCCTCAGGAAGGTGAAGATAATGGTAGCTCGCATGAGTGAAAGCTAAACAAGAACTGAGTGTGTTAGGTTGTGTGGCTCCCTCTAAACCCTGAATTCTTTCTGTCAATTTTGGGGATCAACCACAATTGCAACAGGTCCTTTCACAGGTGGCAGGGGACTCTTTGCTTACTACATCTGCCCCTTTGTACACATGCATAAGGGCTAAGTACAAACTAGCCAGAGTATTTGGCCCACAGAGAGAACGGATACAGAACAGAATGAAGCAGTGCAAATTAACCTATGACTACCATTCACAGCCTTGATTTGGAAGGACCAGCTCCGCGGAAAATAATTCTGTATCTAAATCAATCATTGGCCAATATAAAATAACTAGTGAGAACTCTGATGTTATTTGTGATGATGTGGATCTTGGATTATTGACTAAAACAGCAAATAGTGAACATTTTTGGCTGCTAAGTATGACAGCTGAGAATGCCCTCATTTGAAAGGGTAAACTGCTTTTACTGAAGATTTACTATAGCAACACCTGAAACATGCATTCATTATTCAGCAAAAATAGAATCCTCTTAACTCTTATTTTAGGGCTTTCACAACTCCATTATAAAAACAATGCTTTAGGCTCACACATATTAATTATTTCTTCTCATCTACCCAGCTCTCCAAAGCATTTTAGCTGCAGTTCAAACACTCAGAATACATACACAGGCTGAGATATTCCAGGCAGGGAGGGATACTGTATTTAATCTAATAAATAAAGGAGAATGTTTGTATGTTTGTGCGCTAATAACTTGGACACTATAAGAGCTACCGCAACCAACCTTTGCACGGAATAACCTTTCATCCAGGAGAAGGTTTTAAGGTACTGTGGGAGGGAAGAGATGAGAGACCGACGCCTCTCCCCAGGGCTGCACGGAGCTTGGCAGCGTGGGGAGAAGCGGCGGGACCAGTCACTCACTAAGGCCGGCGGCGGACAAAGAAGCAGAGGGGCAGGGATGCGGCTCCCTTCCCTCTCCCTCCCTTCAGGCTCCTCACCTCAGTTATATCAACTGTCAACTTATATTTCAACAATGTATCTTGACAAAGTGCAAGGACAGTCACTTAAAGTAGTTGGAATTGATTTGGATGCATCTTGCTTTTCACATAGACAACTCTATGTTGCATGTTCAAGAGTTGGAAGTGGAAAAAATTTGTACATATTAAGAATATTGAAACAAAAAATATAGTTTACAATGAAGTTTTTGATGATAACATGTAAAATTGGTTGTTTTATACTTTTTTAAATATATTTTAATCCCTATAGAATTCAGTGCAACTTTTCTACCATTCAAAAAACAATAATGGACTACTGTTTTTCTAAATTTTGTTCCTCCACTTTCCCGAGCAATGCCGGGTAACTCCCGCTAATAATTAATAGGAAATGCACAGCGCAATCCTTACTGCTGTTTTGAGCTATCTCACATCTAGTCCCTGCCATGAAGATTTTACAGTGTTAGCATTCACACAAGCACTGTCCATGGTCAAAGCTCAGAACAAACATGCACTAGCCATCTGAGTTTACCATGCAGTAGAAAATTGTTAATATGCACATTTTACAGGTGAGAGATAAATCCCTCAGAACATCAATGATTTGCCAAAGCACACAGAGCAATTAAGTGTCTAAATACAGATTAGGATTAGTGGCTGGCTGATTCCTTATCCTGTTGTTATTCTGACATATCAATCCTCTTCTCATGGTACAGGAAAATAGAGAAATCCAAGAAAGTTGGCATCCCAACAGCTCCCATTGGTTGAGGTTCACAGCCAATGGGAGTTGTGGAGATAGCACTTGGGCAGGTGGCAGTGCATGGAGCCTCCCTGTCCGTGTGGACTGCAGGCACCTGGTGGCTACTTCTGGGAGCCACATGGTGCAAGAGCAGGTAGGGAAACTGACTTAACCCAATTCTACCCCCCACTGCTGTGCTGCTGACCGCACTTTTAATGGCCCGGTCAGTGGAGCCAGCGAGAGCACTCAGGGTTGTACTTTGGCTGGGCATTCCAACTGAAAACAGTGATCCAGTGAGCATAAAAATATTGGCTATTTTAAAGTTATAAAGTACACAAGAGAACAACATTCCTTCTCTCCTCTAACCAGCAAAACAACACTGGCTTCTAATGCTCCCTTGTATTACAATGTTTACAACCAACTTTAAAAAAACCCAGAACTTGTCAGATTGACTGTTCATAATGTAAACTGAGCACTCATCTGCAGTCCAATGAGACTCCCTCTAAAGTGAGTGATTAAACTCCCCTTCATTTCAGTGGAAGACAAATCAAGTTCACAGCATACTGCTGTTTGAAGTCATAGCATTTTCCAATGTGCATATATGTTCACCAAATTCACTGCTGGAATAAATAACTTGCAACTCCATTGGCTTCAATGCATCTGCAGCCCCTTACACCAGTGATCTGTCATTTATATCTGTACTTCCATCAGTAATGCTCATAAAACAGGTATATGTATACTTCCAACTAACACCAAACACCTATTGGCTTCTAGAAGAGTTTCAGGGGCTGGTTCTGATTATGAAGCCCTGCCTGGCAGAGGACCTTACTATCTGAGCCCTGGTCTACATTAGGCAGTTATTTCAAAGTAACTCCCCTTATTTCGAAATAACAAGTCGAGTGTCCACACTACCAAGCCCATTATTTCAAAATAATAACTCCTGCTTTCCAGAGGAGTGAGAAATAACACTTATTGCAAAATAGTTACTTTGAAATAGTGGTAGTGTGGATGCTCCACTGCTGATATTTTGAAATAACTACTTCCCAGAGTCATTCATGGTAATTACTCCCCAGAGCTTCCTGGGGCTTTAAGTCCACGTTAAGGGAGCCTGCCTTGGACTAATTCCGTAGTCTAGACACAGAGTGAGAGAAAAGAATATTATCCCCATTTTACAAATGGAGAAATGGAGACTAGGTGGCTTGACTAAAGTCACACAGAAAAGCTGGGTAGGAGTGAGGAATTGTACTTAGTCCCAGGCCTGGAGCCTTAACCACATGACCATCCTTCTGATTTTCATCTGTAGTGTGAATCTACATTTTGGAGACACTAATTTGTTTGAGTGAGCATTTAGAAAAGGCTGAAGCAGCTTATAGGCTGAAGAAGTCTTAAGGAAGAAAGTGATGGGTGAATTACATTGATCTGGAGTGGGGAATACATCAGGCACTGTTTTGCTTTTGTCATGATACTGATTTTGCCTCGTTTAAATTAATAACAAGGGATCTAAAGCTTAGAATTGCAATTTTGTCATGATGTTGTATTTAAATCCAAACAAATTCATAAATAAATAAAACAAACAATTCTGAATAATGAATAAATAAAAAAGCATAAGCTGCTCCCAAACAACTCATGAGCAGAAAATGAGGCAAAATTCATTCAGTACATCTGTGAATACGCGGTTCTTTGAATACTATAGCACAGAATCAAATGAACTAGAAATGAAAAAAAAAAAGAGCCCAATTAGATCAAGTCCATAACCAAGCAACAATGCAGGATTTTTCTCAATGCCTAGAGTGTGATTGTATGCATGTAGGAGAAAGTAAGAGAGAGGGAATGTATATTTACATGAAAATATTGTTACATATCCCTAAAACTGTAATGGTCTATTGTAAACACTCTAACTTTTCTATTACAGTTTATTCTGTCTTATTTCCTCATTTACATGAATGAACCAAAGAGAAGATTATGCCATACTGAACTGAATTCTTTATCTCAGAATCCTGACTCAATTCTACAACACGGACAGCAATTTAGAGACTATGCATAAATCAATATCAATAATGTACGACAATGCATATAGGTATATTAGGCATGAGACCCTAAAAAGAACAGAATAATGGAGGGATGATCTAACATATTCATAAGAATAGGAAACCTGCTTTTAATTTCCTTTGCACCAGCGTAAATCGAGAGTAACTTCACGTTAGCCAGTCAAGTGAGAGGGACATAAAAGTGATGTGAGGCAAGTATCAGACCTAGTTTTTCAGTCTTTAACACAGTACTTCCTGGTTTTCACAGCATGTTTAACATGACTCTTTAATATTAGCTGAACAGCAGCTCTTGGAATGTTGCTTGGAAATAGGGTTGCCAACAGTGTATTTCAAAAATACAGGACAGACCTCAGATGTTCCCAATCTTGACATGAACTTCTGGAGGAAAGTCCCTTCTCCCTCCAAGCCCTAGGGCAGCCAACTGGGACAGGGGGTTTTGTGTGTGTGTGTGTGTATGTGCGCGCACACACAGAGTATGGATTCCAGATGGGAATTAGTGTGTGGAAGGGGAGGGAAAGGCTTGGGCAGGGGAGGGAGCTGGAGAGGGACGAGCTTACTATAACTCCAAGGAAGTAGCTGCTAGATCCCTTTGAACCCTTGGAGCAGGGAGGCTCCATGCACTGACTTCACACCCATAGGTTTGACTCCAACAGCTCCCATTGGTTGAGGTTCCCGGCCAATAGGAGCTGTGGAGTCAGCACTTGGCGGGTGGCAGTGCATGGAGCCTCCCTGTCCTTGGGGGGCTGA